CAGAGATCCATTTTTTTTTTTAAGCTCTTGTAATTCTTCATGATGAAAGAAATAACTGAATGCAGGTGAGACCTTGTACTACTGTTTCTGTCAAATTGCCTCTGTAATAGGCTAGCAAATGCACAATTTTGAAAAGCTTTTAGGAACTTAAAAAATATGTTCAGTAGATTTATCAGAAGGGGAGGGTGGCTAACCTTGAGCGGTTTGAAGGACTACCCAACTCAATGTCATGTGCAACAAGACATCTGTACTGTGCCTGTAATGGCTCCTTTCTCATGGAAGGCTGGGTGTTTCTCCTTACTGATGTGTTTAGGAAGTGCGTAAGATTTCTAGATGGATGCTCTTATATATGAAGAGCTGAAAGTATTGGAATACAGAAGGGGTAGGGGCTTGTATCTAAGCGATATACCTCACTGCCCTCTTCCCGAGGCATATGTTTAACTTACAAGAACCAGAGGATGCAATGTACCTGCAGGGCTCCCTAGAATTGGACTTTGATTCGTGGCTGTCAGCAGTGACTTATTTATTTTCTTAGAAGAAATGGTTATTCTCTAGAGATCAGCAACTCACTACAGTGCAGAAGCGCAACAGCACTACCTGTGTTCATAGCTCAGTTCCTCCAGTGTGGGCTGAGGCTGCAGCTGGTGAAAGGAAAGCCCTGAGGGCAGAACAAGCAGGAGGAGCTCTCCCTTGCAGCACAACTAGCATAAACTCTTTGTATAATCTCAGGTCCTGAGATCTGACACAGATAACTATCCTGAGGAGGTACTCGAAGGCTGTAATTAAGAAGTTTTTCATGTGAGGAGATGATAACTCATTGAAACATGGTAGAGAGGGTAGCTATGAAACACTTCCGTGGGTATTTTTCAATGTTTTTATCTTCAATTTAACCTCCAGTTGTACTGAATCACCTTCTCGTATGAAATGTTTGAGTGAATTAAGGCAAATACTAAACTCAGTAGTAAGAAAGGGATCACTTGCTATTTTTTGTTCAAAGTACCAGTAATAGTGCTCTGCAGCTGTACCACGCCACCTTGCAGTGATGCAGGAAACTTGTCAAGAGCTCTCCATGTAAACTGCTAATGAACCTTTGTAATGTCCACCTGAGGCAGCATGTTATGCATGCCAGGCAGTGCTCTGTGAGCAGCTACACTGTAATTAGTGTGGCTGTTTATGAGCAGAAGTATGGTATCTTAAGAGGATGGAAGAAAGCCCAGTCTCGTACCCAACCCCCGAGGCCTTAGCACTATGACAGCAGGAGTGCCAGAAATAGGAATTGGGAGTCTCAGCTCCTGGAAGAATGACTTCATCCCTGGGCAGATTTCTTCCCTTAGCAATTTTTGTCTATCTGGTTTAGCCCACTTTTTTTTTCCCCCCTACGTTTTTAGCAGAGAAACAGTTTCGCACTAAATTAGCCTTTATTTAAAGGTAATTGCAATCAAATCTCTTCAGAGAAGTCTGATGTTGATGTGGGTTTGTTTGCTTTTCAAAGTTAGGTACTGCAGGAATCATACTGAGCTGTTTCTTGTCATGGAGTCTGTAGTGACTCTGGCAAGAAACAGTGACATTTAAGCACTTTTTTTCTTTAAATAGAGTGCCATTCCCAGTGTGCAAGGCAAGGAAATTTTTGCACGATTGGGAATCTTCATCAAAAACACAGCCACTATTTAGTTATTTTTTTTACCCCCTCCCTCTTTCATGACCCTCCCTACTAGCATAAATGCTAAAAGCTAAGATTTCTATTCTTTAGAGATCCTCCCCTACAACAGTCTAAAAATCTATCATGTTAAGTGTAGTACAAGCACTGAGGTTTTATGGTACTTGAGTTACAAGGCATCTAAGTTTGTGAAATATGATCAGTGAAGGATTGCTGAAGCTGATCTAATCACTGGAGCTTACTGCCCATGGCTGACAGCTGAGCAATTGTGTAAATAGGTAAAGGTCAGAGTTAATCCACTGCTTTACATACTGGCCCTTTCCAAGCACAGTGCAACAAGCTGTGTAGGTGGGGACTATTTGGGTCTTGCTGGTGGTGTATGCAGTAATGGGAGAAAAATAGCTAAGGAAAAAGAGCAGCAGCAGTGCTGTTCATACCTCAGAAGGGGTTGCCTGATTACTGTTATCAAATAGATGGATACTCACTGCTTTGCTGCAGCGTTTCTAATGTCTGAAATAATGTGCTGACCACAAATATAATTTAGTGACAGAAAACTGAGTTGATGCCAGCCTAGTGTATGGATAAGGGCAAGAACTATTACAAAGATGCAGAATCTTTGCACAAATGCCCAGTTGTTTCTGGGATGTGTCCTTTGGCTGAATTTATTTTCCCTTCTGCATTTTTGAGCTTTGGTTTTAAATGGTATGGAGGTATCACTTAAAAGAAATTACTACAGACACTTTTATCCCATTTTTACATAGCTTTTTCTGCTGGGCAGATGATCTGGTCCTTACTGAGTAAAAGGAAACATTGAGTAAGTGAGGCCTCTGTCTTGACTGCAGAAAACAGACTACATCACTAACTGCTTTGAAAAAGCATACAGGATCTTCCCTGAAACCAATCTTCCCATTGGCTTAGTGGTTGAAGTTGTGCAGTTATTTTCAATGTTTTGGACAGAACTGGCCTCATCAACAGGACAAAGATTTGATTGCAAAAAAGCAGCTAGAGACTTCAGTCTTGTAGTGAGCCTACAGTCCGCTTAAGTAAGCAAGACTTTTGTCAGATGTAATATCAGTTCTTTGGTCCAAAACACTGATACCTGCAGCTGTGGATAAGGTTGCTGTAAAATTTTTGGTGCAGCTTCTCTGGTTGTAAATCTTCTCTCAGTAATTGGTTACTTTCTATACTATGCGTTCTGTAACACATCCAAGAATTATACTTACCCAAACATGGGACTTCTGCTATTCTGCATACAGGAGTGTTGTTACGTTACAAAACTTTGTTAGTCTTGTGAGGAATATTAGCTGCTGATTCCAGTGTCACCTTTGTGTATTTAAAAGGTTGATACATTATGGTCTACTTGAGTTTTAAGTTGGGGGAGTGAGGGGGAAGAACACTAAAAACATTCAGGGTGAATTGAGTGTTATTCTCTGCAGCTTTTTTCTCTAATCCTGTCTCCATGGAAGGAAAAATTCAACTATGAATATTCTTGCTCTCCTTTTTTTTCCAATTAAGATAGCTACTGCATATAGAATTCTAACTGCAGAGTTTCAGGGAAGTCTAATAAGATAATAAACTACCTTCAAAATCATAGGCAACTTTCTGATATTCTTGTTCAGGATCATGCCATTTCATCACTGTGTACTAAAGGCAGTGTCCTCTCAGAGATATTACACTAGGTGAATATGGGCCAACTTACTACTTGGTGTGAACTATTTGGTATCAGGATCTGGTCTCATATGAGTTCGTTGTTCCGATCTATTCAATGAAATACCAGTCACTTCAGATCTTCTCCTTTTAATTAACAATTACAGTGCATTTATACTTTCAATTCATGTAATTCAACAGCAGATGATGAAAAAGATCATAGATAAGCTGACTTATTGCACCGCTGAAGCAGGGTTGCTCCTGGTGTAATATTTTCCATTGTGTTCCTCATTACACCTTTGAGTGACTTGGAAGATAGATTGCCCATAATTTCCCTTTTCTGGTTACAGATCAGCTTCTTAAATGAGTTTCAGTAGCAGGTGCATTCTTTGCAGTAAGCAGATCATCAGTGTAGAGTGATTTAGGGATTGACCAAGATGAATCTATGTATTTCTTATAATGATGAAACAGCCTGTAAACTTTCATGGCTAGATGGTGCAACTGGAAGAGAAAAAACACAAACACAGCCCATTGGCTTACAAGGGTCAGAAAAGGCATAGGCATTCCTTCTTGATCAGTAGCCATGTGATGACACAACCTGTGTCTTGCAGCAGGAGAGCCAAATGGATAAATGCATGCTTCGTGTTATTTAAAGATTAACAGAGCTTTACTTGTAAAGGGAAAAGATTTGTCTGACTGGAAAACTCCTGCCTGAGGTTACAAAGACTTCTTTTTTGAACTGACATTGCTTTCCCCCTTTATGGTTATGTGGAGTATTTTTAGGTGCTTTGTTTAAGCAATTGTGTTTAGGACTCAGCAGTAAATATGACAAACTTGGTGGTGAGTAGATTTTTCTGCCAGAAGTTGTGGATTAAATCCCTTGTTAGGGAAGTGGCAGTGTTCCAAACCATAATTACTAAATTCATTGTAATGCAGAGAGGCAGGCAGGTTAACTAAGAAATGATCTTTAGTATGAGTCCTTCCCCTTTTTGTAACTCATAAATACACAGACTAATTGGCAATCCAGTCTACTCATATGAAGATCTTGTAATTCAGGTTAAACTGTTCTTTCCAGCAGTCCATCAAACTTTACTAATCCAGCCATGACCAACCTGTGGCCTGGGGGCCACATGCAGCTTAGCGTATCTCATGCTGCAGCCCTCTGAATTCTTGGATAGAATGAATAAAGCTGCAATCAGACGTTCAGCTCAAAGAAAAATCTGATGAGGTCTCTTTACCGTACCTTTATAAGCCCCATCTTACCAGAAACATCCCTCGCTTCACAGTCGTGTCTTGTTCATGGCATTGCTGTTTGGCTGTATGTACATTGGTGACCTGCTGTTTTGGAGGGTGAAGCACAGGAAGAGTAACGTTTCTGTCAAAAGCCTCTGACAAACACTTAAAGAACTCACTGAGAATTGTGGCAACTGTTGTGAAACCAACAGTGTCCAAAGCCAAGTCAGATATCCCACCTGTCCTATGGGTTTGTTGTTTTCTTTGTTTTAACTTATTTTTATATAATTTTAGTTTTGTTAGTTACATACATTAAGTATACAAATATTTTTTTCATGCCTCAAGACAATTCCTCTTCACTCAGTGCAGTCCAGACAAGCCAAAAGGTTGAACACTCATGCACTAAGCCTTTAATTGCATAGGATTTATCCAGATTACTTCTATTGTTTATTTTTTTCCCCAGATTACTTTTATAATCTCTCCCAGAAATGATTGCCAGTGTAGGAGTGCTTCAGATGAGTTACTTCTGAGTGGTAAGTCTTTGCACTCTTATTTAATAGAGCAGATGTATGAAAGAAGTGTAAAATTTGAGCCACTGTAGCTCTCATCTGGTCACTTAAACCAGATAGCAGAAGTGATCACTGAAGTATGTTACCCCGTTTGGCTGTTAGACCCATTCACTGAGTTTTGTTCTTCCTGTCTGTGGAAACAAAACTCAGTCATTCCAAGTTTGTCCAGGTAATTGTATCTGTAGAATTACCAAAGAAAAAGGGACTGGGGATGCGAATGATCTGTGTGCTTGGCTTTACAAAGAGGTGTTAAATGCTCTGTTGTATTTGTTCTCATCATTAAGGAATTTTGCTGGCAAAAGCATGTCAATCATGAAATAAGGGGTGACAAAATAAATAGGATGGAGGGAAGTATAAATGTGGCTCAGCAAACTGAGCAGAGAGAAGAGATGGGAGGTATTCCTGACTTTACAGCTGTCTGTCTGAGTGACTTGCTCTGTGACACAAAACACCTTCACTTGTCAGTGTGCCTCTGTTGGAAGGTTATTCGTCTTACCTGAGTTAATAAGAGGTCCTGGTGTTTGTTTTGAGCTCTGGGAACTTTGAATGGAAAGGGTTATGTGGATAAATAGACAGGTGTAGAAATACAGACAGGCATCTCAGCCTGATGCAGTTGTGGAGCTCAGAACTGCTGCCACCATTATAAGAACTGGAAGAAACATACCAGGAGCTGCTAAGCAATGCCACAGCATTTTTTGGACACTTATGACATGTTTGGCTTGGCAGTGAATATGGGGAAATATTTAGCTTAATGCTTGAGTTCTAGAGGGAAGAGGGAGGAATGTGGGGAGGAAAGGTCATTTGTTGTATTTTTTTTTTTAGTTGTCTTTTTCCTGTCCTTAGAGCTGAAATTCATTCCTTCCCTCTTCTAGAGCCCCAGCTGTTTACTCTGTTATGTCACTTGCATTTTAATATGAAACATTTTCAGTTGCCAAGGATTACCTTACGAAGGGAATAAGTCTTTGTATATGCATTCACTAAAGATCTTGGTAGGGGGATGGCTGGTCAGCTCCAGGGTGGTGCTTGTTAGGTGATTATAGCAGCTCTTCTCAGGACGCTTGCTTCTACTGCTCATCCTCTCTATTTGTGATTCACTCAATTTTTAAGCTGTTTAATGACTGTCTTGAAAACAATTCAATTTACAGTGGTCTTCCAAAACTAACAATAACCTGACCTTCCATAGCATCATTGTGTTCTTTCCCCTTACTTTGGACCTTCTGTATACTTCTTCACTCATTCACCTTTCACTCCTTGATTTAATCTCTCCTGGTGATATGATGTTCAGAGTAGAAAGCATGAATGGGAATAGCTTCCCTCATACACTTTTTTTCTGCACAGTGCAGAGAGAAGCCTGTTACCTCTTCCCTTCCTCACACAATAACAGGTGGCATGGAAGGAGTTTTAAAGCCATGAAGATGCAAGGGAGCAGCATTTCTTCAAGAAAGACAAGCAGCTTGTCTTTCTTTCCAAAGAAACTTTTCATTCCAAAAGTAATGTGCAGAGAGAGGAAGAGCCAGATGGGTCCTAAGGTAAAACCAGGCAACTTGAAAGTGGAGTGAGCAGCAGTTTACTCAGTCTGAGCATCCTCTCTGGTGATGAGCCTGTTGTGGGTTCCTAGTGCTGGATGTGAACCTTCTGCTACTGTACATTATGTGCAGGCAGTCCCAGGTTTCTAGCCTCCTTGACTAATTCCACAGACTCTAATGGATATCCAGCACCTGTGGATGTTCTTTGCAAAGAGTAACTTCCAAATGTGACTTGGGGTGCAACCAGTTGGCCTTCTCTGTGTTGTGCGAAGAGTTGGGAGCTGGTGTGGCCTTAAGAACTTAGGTCTTCTGTGGGCACTATAGACACTGAGACACGCTGATTGCAGTAGTACCACTATGGTACCTTGGGCTGATTTTAGTTATCTCATCATCAGGAATGCATTTTGCTTATGAATTTCTGCAGTTCACTTGGGTTTGAGGAGATCAGTTGGCAAACAGCAGGGCCAGGTGGCAAGGCTTCTTCAGCAGCACTGCTTCAATTTTTCAGCCCTCTCTGCAGATGGGAAATAAGATTCATGGGATTTTATTCCATGAGGATCAGCCATGAGACAATGCTTAATGGGGGCATGTTTTGTTGACTGCACAAGGCATTGCACTTTGCCAGTGCCATTGCCTGCATGTGATGCTCATGTGAACTCTAAGCAAAGTTATACCATGGGTTGTTTCTAACTAATTGATGTGTTATTTAGGAAAACAACTTATTTGTAAACTAGAATCATTATTTATTCATTTTAAATCATGGAGAAAGGCATTTCATACTGAGGTCTGCTGCCTCTGCAGTACAGTTCATTACTCAAAAGAATGATCTAGGGTTGCTTCTTTCTTAATTCAGGCATCTGTGATGTTAATGTTACTGTGTTTTATAATTGGTACTTGATAGTTTAAGTGGATAATCAGCTAAGACATAACTGCAACTTACCAGGAAACAATTGAAAATTTAGGATAATAAGGCTGATTAGACACTATTATGCCAGTCTCATGCTAAGATAATTCTACTGAGTTGAAGTAGCACAAATAATACAGTAAGGTATAAGATATACAGTGGTCAGGCAGACCCTTTGCATATGCTGCTCCTCTGTGCTTTGAGAAGACATAGCCCAGCGGGTAAACTGTTGTTAGTGAGAAGGGCTGAATGATCCTTGAGTATGGGATTCAAGACGTTACTTCCTTGTAATCTTAGCAACTTATTTTGTAAAGAAAAAATTGAAGACAAGCTAAAAACATCCAATAGCAGTTATTTAAAATACTTTTCTTTTGTTGTCTAGGCTTAATACTCTAGTTTAAAATGCAGAAGGAAAAGCTTCTTGTCTAGCATTTTTCAAATCCACTGGGGATGTCTGTTAGCTGCCAAGGCAGGTGCTCATGTCCAGCAGAGGAAACCACATGCGTTGTTCCAGTGGACAAGCGTGGGGCTGCCAGAACATGGCTTGCTTCATCTCCCAACTCACAGCCCAGTCAGTGGAACCATGCTGATGTGCAGTTTGGGGAGAAGGTGAACAAACGCTGCTTTAAGTTATCTTCATGGTTCTCAGGCACCAGGCTGTGTGAGAAAGTATTTAGCCCTCAGCAGAGAGCATTGCAGCCTTTTTGCCAGGGTACTGAAGGGAGGTGACGCAGAGCGGTGCAGTGATTTTGGGGTTGGATGTAGTTTCTCAGTTTTTTTTGTAGCAAAGAGAGGAAAACATTTGCTTGTACATCCCAAGGACTCATTCTGTCCTTGTTTCTTGTCCATAGTGCTGTGGAAGGGGGAAAATAAATGGAGATCCACTGATGAAAATACTTTCTTTTTTTTTTTTTTTTTCCTCATGTTGTATTTTTTCCTTTAGCGTGCAGTACTTTTCTGATAGCCTTTCAATAAGTAAACTGACCTGTTGTTTTGGGAACTCATGTAACCCAAATCCTTTGGATCTGTTTGTCAGACTCTCAGTACTTACGAGGCTCCTGAAGCCCGCACACTAAGGGACAGTAAATCCAATCTGCAAAAGCATCAGCTAATCTCCATCTCTTTGGCATGACCTAGTGTTGTCTGGCATGGTGATGTGATGTTTGGTCAGGATGTGTTAAAGCATCATATGTATGACTCCACCATGCTTAAGCGTAACAAGTTGTTGCTCTTATTCAGTGTTTACTTTTCTTCCCCAAAAGTCACTAAAAGAGAAAAGATGGAACAAATGTCTTGGGTTGAAGGGAAAGAGTGACTCCGTGTCCTCTGGAGCATCATGTACAGGCAAAGCGGTGCTGCTCCAGCCCCTACCTTGCAGAAACCAGCCTTTCTGCTGAGATCACAACACAGCCTTCTCTTTCCAGGACGGTGTCAGAGGAGATTTCAAGAGTTTATTGAGGAGAGGGAAAGAGAAAGGTTCCTTTTAGGAAACGGGCTGCCAGTGGAATGAAAACTTTGCCAGATTTTTTTTTTTAAACTATTATTTATATATATTGGCCTATTCTTGTATATCTTTAAGATTTTCCTTAATGGTCCTTTTTTATTCTCTGTACAGTGAAAGTCATTTCTCCATGTATCCTCTTTTGTCCAAGCATGAGATGAATTGTACCTATTAAATTCACAGAAAGCAATTTGCGACTGTTAAGATTTCTTTTCTTTTTTTTTTTTTTATGCTTTGTCTGTGAAAGTATTGTGAAGATTTTGAAAACTGATTGCCCAAGAGGAACTGGATCCCATTTCAGTTTTTGCTTTGATGCCAAAGTAATTTTTGAAGGCAGAACTCTCATCTGTCTTTTGAGTTTTATTACTGAGAAAATAGTTGAGCTGATTTCATAAAATCGTAACGGAATTGGAAGGGACCTTTTGAAGGTCATCTAGACTAACTCCTCTGCAATGAACAGGGTTACCTCCAGCTGGACAGATTGCTCAGAGCCTTGTCCAGCCTGACCTTGAGCATCTCCAAGGATGAGGCTTCCATCACCTTTCTGAGCAGTCTGTTGAAGTGCTTCATTGTCCTTATCGTAAAAAGCTGCTTCCTTATATCAAGTTGAAATCTCCCCTATCTTAGTTTGAAACTATTTCCCCTTGTCCTTTCACAACAGACCTTGACAAAGAATCTGTCCCCTTCCTTCTTATAGACCCCCTCCTTAGATACTGAGAGGCCATGACTCGGGTGCAAGACTTTGCATTTGGCTTTGTTGAACTTCATGAGGCCAATGTCCCAGCCTGTCTACATCTCTCTGAATGGCATCCTGTCCCTCAGGTGTACCTCACAGCATGATGTCAGCCATAAACTTGCTGTGGGTATCAGCAATCCCACTGATGAAGATCTTAAAGAGCACTGGTCTCAGTTCTGACCCCTGAAGGACACCACTCGTCATTGATTTCTATCTAGATGTGAAGCCATTGACCGCCACTTTCTGGGTGTGGTCTCACAACAACTTCCTTGTCCATCAAACGGTCCCCCTGTCAAA